CATGACGCTGCTTTTTTCGAAGTTTCTCAAGAACCATTCGAGTCACAGAATTCGTTTTGGCATCGTTGGATAGAGAATTGAAAAGTCGATTCAGTCGTAGCAACGTGAGTGAGGAAATTCGAGTGGTTTTGACCCAGAAAGTGAAATTTGAATATCAGACACTTAGGTGCAAGATTATGCCAAAATCTAATGTTTTCCGTCCCGTTTTTGCTCATATCTCGGAGGCAAAATGAGCAAGAGCGCTCATTTGTACATCATTCTAGAGAGAAATAAATGGCCTTTTTAGCAAGTGAACCATCGATAAGGAAATGTTGGCAGTTTTCTCAAAAAATGCTTGAATTTAAGAAGTTTTAGATTTGCGTGGTTTTTTTTGAGTTGCAAAATCTACTTGAACATGACGCTGCTTTTTTTGAAGTTCCTCAAGAACTATTCTAGCCACAGAATTCGTTTTGGCATCGTTGGATAGAGAATTGAATGGGGGGTCATAACCCCGATGACCCCCCCCCCCGGATCCGCCCTTGCATTGACAGCCCTAAATTTTGTTTTAAGGAAGAGGAGTGATATAAGGAAACCGTACTTTCTTCTTTCCAAATGCCAGATTCATATGAAAACTAGAACCTCGTCCTAGATAATAAAAGTGAAAATAAGTCCCCAAAGTCGCAGCAATGCCCGGAAGCGAGACAGAAAACGCATCGAAACCAGTTTTTCCTTGTCCCACTATTTATGTTACGGGGACTGATCGCAATTTATTCAGATAATTTGGGCCAGAAAAGCGAGAAGGGACCTACGAGTTCCACTTACCTTTAAGGAAGCTCCTGCTTAAACCCCCTTTGATGGTTGAGTTGCATTACTAGGGCTGTTATTTGCAAGAACTCCGGTTGTAGACGCCTGTAAGTGCCCGCTCCGGTAACATCGGGGCTCTGTAGGTTCTCTCCAAAGTCAGTGGTAGGACTATTGGGTCCTTGTAGCGAGTGTAGCGTTCCGGGCATTTCAAGTAAACGCTGGAAAGAAAATAAATGTCATCTTCGAAGGTTTCAGCATGGTAATGAAGGCAACCATCACGTTCACTTTTCAAAAGCCTTGATCAAAGCAAGTAGATAAACCTTTTGGACCTACCTGGTAGGATCTTTAGGGCACTGGTAGCTGTAGTCGGATGCCTTAAAGAAATCCAAAGGATGCAAACTGCCAGTATGATCTTTGTACTGGTCACGATGCATCTGGCAAGCCTACAACAATGCAACATCCAAACGTCCATTCTGAGTAGACTTCTGAGCCTCACCCTGTAAAAGTCGTCTACTTCCTGCTGCCTGGCGGCATCCAGCATACTGATTCCCGATGGGGGAAACTGCAGGTACTTGCTGGGTTTGCCATAGATGGAAATGTCTGGATGCGGAGTGTAGGGACTGGTCAGAACGCCCCATTCCTGCGCAGGCATTTGCATTCTGGATATGCGATCATTTCTGAAACTTTGAAAGTAGCTAGTGTGTCCTGATTGGTAGAAGCTGGATTTCAAGGGAGGGTGCGCGCCTATAAATCCCCCTTTTAACGTGGGTGGATAGTATGAAGCGCTGATATCGGAAAAGCGCACATCCCCCATTTTGATACGGCACTGAAAATTTGGATTTTTGCCGAAAAATGGTGACGTTGACTGGAAAAAATGTCAACTACCTGCCCGATCCAGGTCGTTTCAAGCCTTCAAACTATTCGACACCCTGTATAGCTGATTTCAAAAGTACTGACGCCCCCTGGTGGCTAAAATTATAACTACAAGTTAAGCAGTAATTTGACACTTGTTTTGTTGACATTGATGTTTACATCTGACTGTGACGTGTTCTTATCAACTTTTGCAAGCTTTTCAAGTATAGATGATAGAATATATAATAGATATAGATCGAAAAATGTGTAAATAAATAAACAAGTCTGACAAGTCTTAACTGTTAGTAGACAACGAGTAATTTGACGTTTCGCAGCGCCACCATCGGTAGTTAAGCTAGCGAAATGAATTAAATGTTTGGATATTAAGAAAGAAAACCAGGTGCGTGTAAAAAGCATTTACAAGGCTTTTTTAATCAGATATACATGTATAATTTTCGCTATATATCGTATATAGATACAAAAATAGATTTGTAGCTATACATATAAAGAATTTCCTATAAAATTATATTAAATCATTCACATTTAATGGCTGCCCAGGTAGCAAGATGACGTTCACTGTCGTGAATATCAGGTCATATTTTGGTCATCAACTTTGACCAGGAGTGCATTCTGTCGGGGCGTTCCAAAAGAAACGACCTTAGAGAAGGAAAGAGACACTCGCTTGTGTGATGAAAAGAACGACTGTATCATTAACAGAGTGACACCTGACAGATCCCGTTTACGAACACGCTCGCGGAAATGACGTACATGAGGCGTCATTTTCTGACGTCGAATTTGTAGTCTATTTGCACTTACATGTGCAGTTCCATGTAAGTTGCAAAATGCATAGAAGAAAAGAGTTACAGAAGAAGAGGAAAATCAACTAAGTCAACCACCATATAAAGATTAACGAAAAAAATGCGCCTTCCAAAGTTGCAATTTGTCCACTGTTTTAGTTTTTTTTGCAATAAAGCATGTATACTTTAGAATCAGTGTTTTTTGTCAAATATGAAAACCGATCAAAAAAGAAAACCGTAATATTTTAGGTCTAAAGCACGTCAACAAGACGTTCATTCCGACGTCATTTAACCTGTGACGTTAAACCAACGGCAATTTAACGTCAGTCGGACATTAGCTGCCCAAAAAGTGACGTCAATGACGGCAGTTTGCTACCTGAGTGCGCCCTTTCCATTACTGATGGAAACTTAAACGAAAATCCACTAAAGAGTTGCGCAGTAAGAGCGATCATGTGAAGCCAACTTGACTCACAACCGGGTAAGAAGGCAGTGAAAATATCAGGAAATCCAGCTTAATTGAGCACAACAGATGTTAAGATGATATGCATTGGCCACACTTACAAACAATCGCTCTCACTATGCATCTACAATGTATAAAACTGTAAAAAAACAAACTAAATTACATAATAGAATGACACATATTGAGCATAAGTAAAACGCCACTTGGGCTCTGTTCAAAGAGGCAACATTGGGGTTTTGAGCAACACACTATTAAACTATTGACTGCCCCCCCGTAGCGCACAGGTGGCCTTTTTAAAGCGAGTCGGCCACATTCAACCCTGCGCCCAGGAGCGAGACAGAGCAAGCGGTCGCCATGGAATTAACTGGGTGTTGCCATAGCATACCAGGGCCGATTGCAACTTAATTTGAAATGCAAAACTCAGGGAATGTCCGCGGTTGATAGTGAGAATCCCCAAGCAGTTGCCCCTTTAAACTTAAACTATTTTGTCTTTTTTTGTTAAATCGGTAGACAATATTCCATGGAAAACGACGCCGGTGCAAGCAGTTCATTCGTTTGAAACGGCTGCGGTTTTGAGGTTAAACGAATCAGAATTTGCGATAGCTAAATGGTAAGAATTTTGAATAAGAATTTCACAATTTTACTAACAGCACAGTTTTCATTTGACTCAACTAGGCGTGGCTAACACAGTGGATTTTGAGGTGTTGACGCACTACCGCACACGGATGCAGTAAATACATACGATAAATGTGTTGGTAGATAACAGAGGGTCTTGTGTTATCAGCGCGTTCAATCTCTTTTTTTTGGTTTTACTGAAGAATCGAATAAATTAAATCGGAACATATTTTCTTCTTGAGACTTTTCGGAGAAAAGATCCGAATATTTGAATGCTCTGACCGGTGTCGGAAATCCTTGAAGTAACAGTTTTTCTGGCCAAGTCTGCCATCTTGAATGAGGTTAAATCTAAGTTTTATTGAAGGTGTCGGTCCGCAAGACGCGCGGTGTTATAGCGCATGGACGCACAGAGCGGCATCAACACAGTGTTACCCAGGCCTAGACTCAACCAAGGGGAACTGAAGAACAATGACGCGGTCAGTACCATCAGGGCCGTCAAAAAGTTCTAATCTGAGTGGGCAGAGAACTGTGCTTACTTACAATTTAGGAAAACCGTTTTCAACCGAATTTTGCAATCACACTTAGCAAACAAACATGAAAAAAACAGAATCGCGGTTGCACTGGTAAAAACCCCCATAAAAGCCTATTGTCTATCGATCAATTTTGTGCGGAACAATCGTACAGAAAGAATCTTATATTTATTTTCTTCCTATCTAATTTGAGACCGGACGAATTGGACAGGGACACGCAAACTTGATCGGTAAGGCAAATAGAAAAGCAGCTTCCTACAATAAAACTGACAACGGCCATGTCCAGGCCAATTCCTTTAAATATATATCACATAACTTTATTTGGCAGTAAACTTGACCAGGTTGCCATTTTCCTCAAATATCCCCGGATTCAAGTAGAGCTTCTTGAAACCCTTTGAGGTGTGCTCAGAGGTTTGCACCGTGCCAATCTCTGACATACGCCTGCGCAGCCCTTCGTCTACTTTAACCAGTAGATCCACCACGGACTCATCCTTGGCCAACTTCATGAAGTGCTCGCAGATGAGTTCGATATACCAGGTGCCTCTAAATGGATCCCGATGCGCCTTGGAGCCCTGCATCGTTGCATGTCCGATCAGCATGTCTTCAACGGGACGAAAGTGCTCGAAAACCGGCTCGTTTCTGGTCTCGATCGGCTCAGAAGGCGGCGACGAAGTCTTGCGACGCCCATCAAACTCCGTACTGTATCTCCGGGGCAAATCCAACTCATTGCCTCTGCACACCTGGTAGATGAACACCTTGGGTTTTCCACGGAACATTGAGCAATTTTCATTGGTAAAGTAGGTTTGAATGGCGCTGGTCGTTAAGTAGTGGCCATCAGTGCCATAAATGATCGTTTCATTCAGCTTGTCTTCGCCATGGCTCATTATGAAAATGAAACAGGCGTCGGGAGGGCTCTCCCGATCCGGTTGTGCGAACTGCTTCAACACATCCTGCATTTCGGCGGCTGTCAAGTTACTCTCCGTCTGGATAATCTGAAAATATGCACAGAGTTGAAGGATTTGAACTGGCTTAGAGCCTCTATACATATCTTCTACTTTCTTGCAGGGTCTGGGACACTGGATAAGGCAGGATGGTCACGCACTTTGGAGTTTTGCTCGTTACGGATATTTTCAGGCTTTCCATGACACGAAAGAAAGCTGCTTTGTGTGCAAATAGATTACTTTTCTACTGAAACGTATTGTTCGAACGCCGTAAAAAAGAAAAAAGGGCTTCATGGAGGAAGGAATGCAAGGATATCGAAGATATGCCGAGCTACGCCAGACTCTATAAGGCAATCTCAAAAGAACCACAGCAAAAAGTGGGCTCCCTGATAAAACCACAGGGAGGATATACAACAACAGAAGAGGAGTCTCTGGAGCTTATGCTTAAGACTCACTTTCATGGATCAATACTGGGAACAGGCAGAGAACAGGAGATGCCGGTGATCTACAGGACGCGACAGCGTGCACCGAAAGAGCACTGGACTCTTGCCTCAAACATCGTAAACCAGTACAAAGTAAAGTGGACCATGAGTTCCTTCAGACCATTTAAATCACCGGGAACAGATGGCCTAATGCCAGTTCTGCTACAACAGGGAACCGATTTACTGGTGCCCCTCTTGTGCAAGATGCTCCGGGCTTGGCCCTGGCATATATGAAAATGGAATGGAGAATGGCGAAAGTAGTATTCATTCCAAAACCAGGACGGGCGACGTATGCCCAGGCCAAATCCTTTCGCCCGATCAGCCAAGATCCTTCTTACTCAAAACACTAGAAAAGGTGATCGACAGAGATATCAGGGAAGAGGTTCTTACTAGAAGTCCTCTACACCACAACCAATATGCCTACCAAATGGGAAAATCCTGCGAATCTCCCATCCACGAGTTGGTGCAGAGGGCACAAACCTCATTAGAGCGTAAAGAAATAGCTCTGGCGGCTTTTCTGGACATTGAGGGAGCCTTTGACAATACCTCTTTTCAGTCAGTAGTCAGAGCGGTTAAAAAATCGTGGAGTGGAGCCTATAATATGTAAATGGATCCAAAACATGCTGAGTTGCAGAACGGTTACTGTTAAAGAACATGTGGGACAGAACACAAACAAGACGATCAGGGCTTTATGGACCTGCAAACGCACTTTTGGAAAAACATGGGGAATTTTACCGAAGATGGTGTATTGGACGTTCGTCACCATTCCGAAACCCATAATCACATATTCCGCCGTCATATGGTGGATTAGAACCAAAATCAGCACATATCGACAGTCCCTGAACAAAGTTCAGCGGCTAGCGTGACTGGGAATAACTGAAGCAATGTCAACGACGCCGACAGCCGCTATGGAGACAGTCCTGGGGCTGGAGCCGTTGCATTTATCCATTGAAGCTGAGGCCCTAAGAAGCGCTTACCGTATGGGTGACGATGTCCTCAGGAAAGCAACGGATTTGGGACACAGTGCGATATTCAGAAAGTTGTAGACAGTCGAACCCATGGGATCAAAAGCTGATCGAATCAAAACTCTAAGCATCTCGGTACCTTTCAGAACATATGTCCTAAACGAGAGGCGAGATGGTGTAGAGTCCATCAGCCATCACAGGGGACCCCGTATGGTACACGGAGGGCATAAAAACAGCGTCGGGCACAGGCGCTGGTATAGTCGAAAGAGGAAGAACTGGGGAAAGGATCACCTTAAACCTGGGTACAACTACGACAGCTTTCCAAGCAAGCATCCTAGCAATAACAAATTGCGCCCGGAAAATGAAGGAAAGAGCCTACACACGTAAGCACATTACCATCGTAACCGGAGATGAAGCCACAATAAAGGCATTAGAATCGTACACAATCAGGTCACAATGTGTGCTAGATTGTGGAAAAGAACTTACAACCCTGGCCGGGAGCTCAAACAGAGTAAAACTCACTTGGGCAACTGGTACGAACAGGAACAAAGAAAACGAGATTGCTGCGGAACTTGCTAAGGCAGGGACCGAGAAACCACTGACCAACCAAGAACCTGCTT